CTCCTTTTCCACATTGTTCTTGACTAATCCCTTCTTACAATTCTCTCTATTGATCTACTCCTTACTATAAACACATTTTGAGAGGACTCTTTACTACAATTTTGCCTAAACTCGTCGGTAAGAAGTGCAGACTTCGAGAGACATTGTGCTGCTAGGATTTGATAATCAGCCCATCCAACGATTTGGGTATAGAACAAAGTAAAATAGTTGCCTTGCTCTCATCAATATTCATATCCAAAACCATGAACTAGCTAACCAGGCATTGAACTTATTGAAGCGTAATCGTAAAGTGAACAATGTGCTGACGCGCCTAGAGGTTTGTGTGTGCCCTGCCTATTTTGACATCCGTTTGGGGCCAACAGTACTCCAAGTTGTTCTAGCTCCTATTCGGGTCACATCCCCTGCCGAACTATCATCGTGTTTACGGTTGGTTGAATGTGTGGTTCTAGATAACCGTTTTCTCTTTAATTGAACGGTTATATGCTCCCCTAGCAGTGAGAATTTTTTTGAAGATGAGATTTTCTAAGTGTCGATTAGAAATAAGATTGTTGTGCCCGGATTTAGCGACGTAGGAGCCATGGATGGGCATCAATCCTCACCGCGGATGTGACAAGTTGTGGAAGAATCCATCCTCCACTAGAAGGGAAAGTGTATGGCCTTGAATTCACATGATTAGCATGGATCCTTCAAGAACCAGGGGTTATACTTTTGTTTTGAAGAGTTGTAGTTCTATTAAGTACCCAGGTTTTATTGAGTTGAGGAGCATGAGTCCTACTACGAACCGAGGGTGAATTTTATGATCAGCCAGGGTCCTATTGTGGCTGCGGCGTACTTTCAACTCGAACAACCGCAATCGACTATCAACTCCTTGGCTTAGCCATCGTCCTATGAAGGACCAACATTGAACCAGCAACGTGAGGGGCCGAAACCGGCCTTCAATTTACTGGAAGCCTTTGAGGAACCTGGTCTCTATGAGTTTGCTACTTCTGGGGCAGCGTGATCACATGAGGGATAGGGGCTCCCCTTGTAGTCCCCAGCACTAACTCCCATGAAATACTAGAGAAGCACACAAAAGAGCATAAGTACAACTATGATCGTATAAGATCTATAGCTTTTTGTATTAAAATTGGATTCAACATGACTTCTGAGGGTCAAACGATCCCTTGTTCTCTTAACATTTACTTTATTGGACACAAGAATAAAACATCTTTGTTAGAAGGGTCAGTTACAATAAGAAAGATCCCAAAGAACAAAAAAATGGCCATGGAATTTACCCTTACTGATGTATTATTCTTATTTTTAATTTTTTTTATTCAATTTCAAATGATATATATTTTAATTTTAGTTTTAGGATCTACTTCTAGAGTTTTTTTATTTTTTAGGAATTTTAGCATTTTTTATATTTTTTTATTTATTATTCATTGGTTACTATTCCTAGTTACTGTTCATGGGTACGGTTAATTTGTTTCTCATATGGGTATTTCTAGAATTTTAGTATTGTTTAAGTATATTTTAGAATTTTAAATGTTTAATTGGATCTCAAGCTAATTTTAGGGTTTCATAGACTTATAAAAAGTTGAATGTCACAGCTTTATTAGGCTTATGTTATTTTGAATTAATTTTATTATATCAGAGATGAAAGTTTTTGTTCTTTTAGCTTGATTTACAGCCATTACTTTCTTTCATTATTGTTGATTTTACTTATTTAAGCTTCAAAAAAAAGGTGGATTTAATTTTCTGCATTTCTTTCCTACATCAAGTGGTATCAAATCATGGTTCAAAGATGGTTAGAGATTTGCGATGGCTAGTCATGGAGGTATTAGCCATAGGCATGCCAATCAAATCCAACTGCATAAGGAAATCAACAACTTGATGGAAAGGGTTATATAGTTTGTTGTGCAAGCGAAACTAGCAATAATGTGCTCCAAACGAAGAGAAATCTATGGGAACATGTCCAAATCATGAGGTTTTTAATGAGAATGGTGCGAATCATAGTCCGAGTATAAGTGGGAATGAACTGATGGCGTGTCAAACAACATAGATGGGTTTAATGCGCAATTGCATCAGCAGGAATGTGATTTCAAAGAAGAACAAAAATGATCTAATTTTCAAATGGATTTTATATTTTTTGAATAAGTAGAAGGTGTTGTCTTTGATAGTGCTCTTAGATAGGAAGGTATGGACTATAATGAGATATTCTCTCCAATGATGAAACATATTGCTATTTGAATATAGTCATAGTTGTATTATTTGATTTGGAGTTAAAACAACTTGATGTCATGATCGCATTCCTTCATAGAGAGTTAGAGAAATAGATCTATATGACTCAGCTTGATAAATATCTCTCTGTCAATGGCATCAACAAAAGGAGGGATATTTAACTGCCCCATTGGGAAGGAGTTTTTATCTCTATTTCTCCATGATCACCCTGAAATTTGACCATGACTTGTAGGAAAATCATCAAACAAAGGATTTTAGCTGCATAGATCCCCAATCAACAGTCATGATTCACCATTGCTATCCTTTCTCTCCTCGTCACCAAAACCCCTCTTACGTTTGATAGTGCTCTTATTTTTTATAGTGATCCTATTTTTGATAAAGAACTAGAATATGCCATCTTTGATGAAGGTCTAATCTTTTATGATTAATAAAATTTTATAATTTAATAGATCTCTAAAGAAGAAAAAGATGAAGATCTCAAAGATACTAAAGAGGTTTAGGCCAATGGAATCATAATAATGCAGTGAAAGCACGGTCTACTCAGAGTCTTCTAATTGTGGCATTGCATTTTGAGAGTGATGAAATAATTTTTGAGAAAGCCTCTAAAGACTAGATAATGGAGTTCGGATATCTCATATGATTTGCAATGAGAGTTCAAGGATAGCCGTACTTGACAAATTTATATTGATTGCTCAATACACATATGAAGATCCTTATCTTAAGGATTTCTTCTTACCATGAATAATCTTTGAGTTAACAAAAAAGAAAAAGGTTGAAGAAGGTCATATTGATGCTAAATTCATCTTAGCACACTTCAAAAAATCGATAGGAGAATAATGTAGGCTAATATTATTTTTATTTTTAATTTATATTTAATTTTAAAGGATATATATTTTAATTTTAGTTTTATGATCTCTTTCTAGGGTTTTTAAGTATTTTTTTAGGGATTCTAGGATTTTTTTTATATTTTTTATTTATTATTTACCAAGAATTATTTATAGTTATTATTTATGGGCACTATTCATGTGTTACCGTTCACAGGTGTATCTTTAGAATTTTAGTATTGTTCAGGGGTATTTTAGAGTCTTAAATGTTCACTTGGATCTCAAGTTAATTTTAGAATTTCATAGGGTTATAAAAAATTGGATGTCACATTTTCGGAGGCTTAGTTATTTGGAATGAATTTTACTTTATGAAACAAAAAACTTCTTTTTTCTATCTTTAAAAAAGAACACTTATTTTTCTCTCGGCTTGATTTACAGCCATGTTTTTTCCTCCACTATTTGTTGATTTTACTTGTTTAAAATTTAAAAGAAAAAAAAAAATTTTAATTTCCCACCGTTTCCTTCCTGCCCAGGCAAAAAACAACTCTAGTACAGACGGCGACGTTCTTCGACCAACTTGGGTGGGTGCCTGATGGTCCACGTTAATGTCTAGAGAAAGGGATAGCTTAAGGTCCTTCTGGATAAAAGGAAAATAGTTTTTGTGCATCTTCTAATAAATTTGTTGAAATAGATAAACACTTTTTAACCAATGATTGATCTTGAATCGTTCATTTTCAAATCCAATGGTCCTTTCTACACCAACTAGGATTTTAATGATTTCCAGTTTATCCAATATAGACCTCATTTTTCAATTCAAAGTTGAATTATCCAAAACTTCCATGTAGTTTTCCATGATCCCTGTTTCATGAACAAAACCCTGTATCTCTCTCGACCCAGCTATCTCTCTCAACCCAGCTGGAAAGGGGCTGGTCACTCTCTCAACCCAGCTGGAAAGCGGCTGGTCACCCACACTCTACTCACCACGTTTCCATTCCCACCACTAACACCGCCCCACTAACTCTTGAGCTATGAAAAAACGGGTAGAACCTGCCTTCCCCATTGAATCACCCAAAAAAAAAAGAAAAAACAAAGAAAAAAAAAAGGTAATGAGCACTTGCATTGTGCATTTAGATCCTTTTGTAGAATGGAAAATGGATCGACAATTGACGTTGTTTTGAGCTTATATGAACACCATGTTATGGTGCTCGCAAGTTCTTGAGTATTGTCTTCAATTTAGTATTTCACAAATTATCTCGTCAAACAAATATGTCCTCTATTTGCTTATGATTATCAAATATCCCAGGTTTCTCTTCAAACAAATTGTTAAGGATAAGCATAAACTTTTGTGATACCATACTGAAGAATTGGTCGGGGGTTTATGCAGATCTAAATTATAATTTTATGGGTTAATCTTTAAGGAAAGTATACCCTCAAACCATTTGCCTCAATTAATCTTGACCATTGAATGTGAAATTGTGTGGTTGCATTTATTCTTTTGACCAGACTCAGTTCAAAAAAAAAAAAAAACCTCTCAAACTTTGAAATATACCAAAGCTATCAAATTTCACATATGAGGGTTCTAAGAAATTGTGATATCTTTGTACCAAAGGTAAATGATCTCATTGTATATAATCCCTAATCTTTATCCCCACCATCCTTTTAGTCATCAGAGTTTGTCGCCTGGGCTGTAGACCGACAATCAACAAGATTTACACTTTTTCGCCAGACAATCATGGCGAAATTACAATCCTCATAAAATGGTACGCAATCTTCATAAAATTGATTGTGTAGTCTATTTTTAAGCCCGAAAGTTCTCCAAGAGTTTTATACTCATTTGATTAGAATTTCAATCATGAGCTATTGAGCCTCATATGAGTTGGCATGCTATTCATAGGGAGTGGGAGTTTTCCTCATCTAACTAAAATTGAATATATGCCCCAGATTAAGCAACAAGAATGACTCGTGGAATGATCTGAATAAACTCCTCATAAATATCATTCACATACCATGCATATGGCCAGAACTAACATGCATATGGTGAGAACTAAATTGTCACTTTCAAACTCCAAATGAATGATTTAAAAGGGGATCTAGACTTGCATGTTTCAAATGTGCAGTGATCTTCATGCATTTCACACACACACACACAGCATTTTGAAACATCGATTAGACTTGTTGATATAATAGGCATTGTAGGGATGGAAAAAAGCAGGAAATGTTCCACAATTTGCTCCCAAAAAAAAAAAAGGGAAGTACGTACAAACTTGAATAAGGAGGTTATAACTAACCCCAGTCCATAAAGGGGAGTTCAGGGTACCCTCCTTCAGGTGGGGGCCTCAGTGAAGGGGGTAAATTCGCCAATGATAACCCCACCCGCTCCGTGATTGTGTTCCCTGCATATCAACTGCATGTCACTATATTTTCTGCATCTGTCGTATGAAAGAGGAGAGAAAGAGGATGGGGGGGATGGCTTCAAAATGAGTTTCTACAAAAAAAAAAAAAAAAAAAGAGGAAGAAGAAACAATAGTTCAGTATTCAGAGGCCCCAACAGATTGCAACACTTACAAATTTGCCAGTGTGATTAGAAGCAACCCCATAGCCTTTTCAGTAGTTTGATTTGTAAACTGAAATCAACAGACTATACTTTTTTCTTTGACTTTTTGACAGCTATTCCTAGAGGTACAAGTCCTCCACATTTACATCATTTTATGGGATTAGTCCGTAGCAGTCATGGGCAAAATAGCAAGTTCGGGGTTGCAGTACTTGTCAAAGAAAGCATGGAAACAAGAGGAAGCTCTCTCTTTCTCTCTCTCTCTATAGCTCCACCCTCGTGACACTAATCTGACAGGGTATTTAATAGCTCAAAAAGTATTATCAATAAAAGAAAGCTATAAATCAAAACCACGACCACCAAGGAGAATTACAAAAGTTAACTTTCAAAGGTGCGTAGAGTGGGAGTTCTGAGGACTGGTAATTAGGCACTTTGGTCCCCAAATATCTTAGAGATCATAGTTTATATGACTCTGGTGGCAGTTGCCAAAGGATCAAGGAAATCAAAGAAACCCTTTATACTAACTTGTGAAAAAACGGGCGTCAACCAAATCAGGCAATTCAAAAGGTCAGCATCAAGAGACAGATTTCACTCTACAAGAAACCAACCCAAGTTGTGTAAGAATATTTCATGTTATTCATTGGCACCATTTTTAGTTAATATTGAAACATCAGTACTCAACCATGAATGTATCAGTCTAGAAACGTTCATGGTCAATGGTGAACCAGAATCATCAATAAACAAATATATCAAACAATAAGTAAACAAATTTATCAAATGATAAGTGCTACTCAAATCTAAGCAGCGTGGGTTGCCAAGCCCAAAGGAAATCACAATTCTGCAAATGTTTGGATACTGTGGGTATTGTAAATGGATTAAAATTTCACTAATAAGCCATAAGTTGATCCTTCCACCAGAACTACTTTCAAAATGCTGCTAACTGTAGATAGTGTCCATACCTTTGCTTGGCATGATTCCATACTAACCGAACCAGAAAAAGTTCCAACTGAGCATAAATTTAGGTCATCAACAATAACCTAAGATGAATAAAGCCCTTTAACTTTAGAAAGCCAAAGGCTTAAAGAACATTCACTAACATCACTTTTGAGTCGTTCAAAACTCTTTCTAAGTAACTCTTAAAAGAAGAATAATCAAGGCATGGCACACAGCCAAAAAATCAAGGCATAGAATAATTAAAATCATCATCATGTATAGCATCTGTTAGAAAATGCAAGTTGGTTCAAGTGGAAGGCTCAAAAAGGATAAGAAGTAGGTCGAAAAGGACATGTTTGGAAGTAATGAAAAAAATATGGTGACGTATAGCCTCACTGAGGTTATGGCCTTTGATAAAGCAGAATGACGGACCAAGATTCATGTAGCTGACCCCAAATAATTGAGAAAAGGCTCTGATGATGATCATCATCATTCGAGCCTTATTACAACTATTTGGGGTCGGCAACACGAATCCTGTCTTGCCATCATCATCATCATCCGAGCCTTATTAGAACTATTTGGTGCCAACTGTACAAATCTTGTTCTGCCATTCCGCTCTATCAAGGGCCATACCCTCAGCAAGTACATAAGTCATCATATTTGTTCATATTAATCCCATTTATGTCCTTTTGGCCCTTCCCCTCCCTTTTAGAGTCTTTTACTTGAACCAAATCACCCCTCTTAACTAGTGTTGTTATAGTCGATGGTGCACATGGCCACACTCCACAAGTCTACTTTCCCTCATCTTATAGCCTATTGGGGCTACCCCTAATTTAGCTCGGATGTATTCATTCTGGATTCTATCCTCATCTTGCAACTTCGTCTCAACATCCTCATCTCAACTATACTTATTCTATGAATATGTTGTTTCTTGATTGCCCACCATCCCGTCCCCTAAAGCATGACTGGTCTTACAGCCATCCCATAGAACTTCCCCTTCAGTTTCATTGGTATGCAATAATTACATAAGACTCCGAAACAAGCCTCAATTTTGTCCACCAGCTCCAATTCTATGTGAGACATCTTCCTAAATCTCTCCACTCTCATGGATTGTCAACTCATGATATTGAAAATAATTTTTTATAGGTATTTCTTGACCATCAACATTAACTAATTCCTCATTTCTATTCCTATTATTACAAAACTTGCATTCTATATATGTTGTCTTAATCCAGCTAATTTCAAAGCCTTTAGATTTTAGAGCATTCCTCCAAAGTTCTAAGTTTATGTTGACGACATCTCTAGTCTCATGAATCAAAGCTATGTCATCCGGCAAACAACAAACACCACAATTCCTCATCCTATAGATGTTTAGTTAACTTATCTATAACCAAAGCAAAGAGATATGAGTTCAACACTGGCAGGTCTGCTGTCACTAAAAACTCACTTGTCTCTCTACTAATTTTCGTTCCCTGATAGATACCCCTCACCATATCAACATATCCTCAAGAGACACATTTATTTTCCAATACCCATCAAATTAACTATCCAGGTGCCATATTGTATGCTTTCTCTAATTATTAAAAACCATGTGACAATCTTTTTTCTTCTCCTTAAACTTCTCAAACTTCTCCCGATTGTATATCAGGTGGTGTATCCAGCCAACCAGCTCACATTTTTATTAGAGGATTTGCTATATGTGTGATTGTAACTGGCATTCGTTATGCAACTACTGTCCAGACAAGTGGAAGTTGTTTTCCAGTTTCTGCAAGTGTCATATGTAAGTTATCTATTTTTCTTCATGCAGTTTAAAATAGTTGTCTACATAAGACTGCGGCATGCTATTTATGTTCATTGGATTATTATTAATATATAGACTCCATTGTGTGTTTTCTGTCTAATAGTGTTTATTTTTACAAAACTGTTATCTTTCCTTTAAAGTTTCTTTAGTATAAGTGTTTTATGTTGTTATTTTGCTTATGTGAGCCTTTTGGTATCAGAGCCAAGAGCCTACAGTGGTGAACTGTAGTTTAAGAACTGTGCTAGAGTTTAGGGACTAAAGAAATTTCCCACAACGATAATCATCTTGATACTAAATAGTCATCGTGACCCGAACTACCGATAGGCCAGGAAGAGCCGCAAAAGGTACAGGGGCTGTTTCCGACTGACTCTGTGATCAACAATTATCTGAAATGGCAAATTTCCTTAGAACTCTATCCAATAGAACAGCCTCTTCTTCTAATAGTACACTACATGTAAGAAACAGAGAAGAGATAACTATAAATAATGTAGAAAAACAAATTCAGAATTGGAATATCCCTAAAGTTCCAGCCACATATGTTTATAAAAAAGGAACTTTTGAATTTAAAACAAGTTTTTCTCTTAAACCTGTAGAACAAAGTATTTCTATTACTAGTGAGCAAAATAGTATCCAACTTCTCTCAAATAGAATGATACAAGATCATAAGAATAAGAATTACAAATATTTACATGTAGGACTTGTCCAAATTGCAATAAAGCCACTCACTCGAATTGGTTTAAATAACTCTGTTCTTCTCTGTCTCAGGGATGAACGGCATAATAAATTCTCTGATTCTCTCTTAGGTATAGTAGAATCAAGTATATGTAATGGCCCTATATACTTCAATTGCTTTCCCAATTATTTGGTGGCCTTAACGGATCCTAACCTCCTAAAGGTTCTTACTTTAAACATAAAAACCCAAGGGTTCGACATGGATACAGGATCCCAAAATATTGCTCTAGTCTATAGGATTTGTTATAAAGTGACGAACACTTTATGTCCAAACGCACTCCAAATGGATACCAAAGGACAAACAGTGTTTTTCCATACCAATATGGAAAAATCTAATACTGTGATACCAAGGTCTATGGCCTGGTCACAAATAAAAAATGGTCTCTACACTGTGAAAACCAATAGTCTAGAACCCCAGTAAATAGAGAACCGGAACAAATAATAGAGTACCCAGATGGGGATGTAAAAATACAATTCAACTCTAATAAACGAACCCGAATAAATATTTCTGAAGCCCCTTCTAGAATTCCTTCAAGATGCTCTACTTCTTCTGTCCCGCAGACAGAACATGAGCAAACTCATAAGAGACCAATAGTCGAAGGACTGACTAGAACAAATAGTCAAGTCCAACAACCAGTATATAGAATATATGAACCTAGTTCCCCAGATAAAGAACCAATACCTTCCGACTTATATTTCAATATCCTTACCCTCCAAGAAGAGAAAATATTTAAAATAGATAAAGAATGGATAAAACAGAATTTCCTGTCTGATGAAATAAAAGCATCCGTGATTGGTATTTAGTAGAATTTCCCCAAGAACTACTGGATGCTCTGCATAAAAGGTTTAATAAATTTATATTAAAACATAAAAGGAATGAAAGATTCTTTGATTGGTTAATATGCACCCGAACAGAGAAAGATATTAAAATCCCTGAATTTAACCTCAATACAATTGAAAATCAGTATCAAACTTTTTATACTATGCAAGGGGAAGAATTAAACTCCATTAATCCCCCTGAAAGAAGTCTTCAGATGAAAGGAAAATCAGAAGATAAAACCCGAGGCTAAGGCTTCACCCTATAAAATTACTCCAAAAGATACTGACCATCATACCCATAAAATAGATGCAATCCCACATATAATCGAACAAAATAATTTTACTAATCTTTGTTTACAAACCATTGGTAAACAAACCTCAGGGAAAGAAGGAGAATCATAAGTCTGAGGGAAAGAAAGCTTTACTGTTCAAACCTCCTCCAACCATCAATAAAGAACAGTTTAGCCTTCAAGGAATAAAGAAGAAAGATACTAATAAAGAACTAGATGATCAGTTAATTCAAAAATTTGCGAGACTAAATATAAAAGAAAAGGGAA